TGGTGTGATGAAGCGTGACCCAGTCGTGCTGATAGTTCCAATACAGTACTGGCGTCAGAAACAACAAAGCCCCCAACGCACAAACGTACAACGTCGGGCGAATCGCTTCTTGTCGATCTTCCCGGGAAAGCAAGACGAACAGCCCACCGAAGACCAGCATGCCAGCCATCGTTTGTTTCGTCAGCAGACCCAGCCCAATGACGACGGTCGTTGCGACAAGCCACTTCCAGCGATCCTCCCCTTTTTCGAGCAGACGCCAGAAGCAATACATTGCGGCGCTCCAAAAGAAGAGGAACGGAGCGTCGATTGTCATCAACAAGCTCATCGCCACGTTGCCTGGGGTCATCGCCACCAGCATCGTTGCCCAGAAGCCGACTTTGGCATCGTACATCCGACGAGCGAGCATAAATACAAACGCCAGACTACCGGTGCCCAGCAGCACGGCCGGCAATCGAACCGCGAATTCGTGATCGCCCAGCAGACGCGTCGAAAGGCCAATCAACCAGGCAATCATCGGCGGCTTGCTGAAGTAGCCGTAATCGAGCTGCCGCGACCAATCCCAATAGTAGGCTTCGTCATGCACAAGATCGAAAGGATCAAACGCAAGATAGACCAACCGGAACAGCCCCAGCCCCAGTACAAGCCACATAGTGCGACGCGTCCACAGGGAAGCATCAATCGGATCGGCCGACAGGGCCTCGGTTTGGTCGTTCATAGATCGCTTACTAATTTCGATTCACGCGCCAGACTAACGTTGCACCGATGGCGAAAAGCACCACGTTCGCAATCCAAACCGGTACGGCACCAAACGTTCCGTCACGAGCCGTTTGTTCGCCAATCACCAGCAGCGGATAATACAGCAGCAAGATCGGAAGAAAGCAGGTAAAGAAGGTCGAGACGTTGTCGGATGACTTACGCCAAACGGCGACAGGGATTCCCATACACACAAAGCAGAACACACCAAACCCATTTGCCAGACGGCGTTGCCGTTCCGCTTGCAGGCGGTAAAGTCGCTTCTGATGTTCGTTGTGATGGTATTCGGCGTTTTTGAGTTGTTCCGGGTCAGGATTCTCGCCGAGGCTTTCGATGCTCGCTTTCGCTTCATCGATAATCTTCTTCTCGCGATCGATCTGCAGAGGTATCGCCCTGAGCGTCAAGTTGGCGGGGGAAGCACTGTCCTCGTTAATTTCGACCGAGTTCAGATGGTCGAGGTAAATCACACGTTCGTCCGGAAACTCGAACTTTCCTTCATCTCCAAACTCGACCGTTCCGTCGCGGCAAATCAGCTGCAAGATGCCTGACTTTGGATCGGTTTGCAGTTCCGCCTCTTCGACTTCCAAATAGATGGAAGGCTGCGAATCGGTCGCGGCGACTTGGAACGTCGGGCTGATCAGCTTCCGGTCACGGACCGCTTTCACGGTAACCGAGAAGCCTGACATCTTAAAGTTACGCTGCGTTCT